CTCAAGATAAATAAATAAACTTAAGAAAAAAAATTTAAGATTTTATTTTTTTAAGTAATCTCTGCACCCAACATGAGACTCAAACTCGGGACCCTGAGATCAAGAGCCGCATTCTCCACCAACTGAGCCAGCCAGGTGCCCCAGGAGAATTGTATTCTTGACCACTGTGATGTACCTATAAAAAGCTAAGGAAAAATAGAATGGACTAACCAATTTGGTTAGTAACTATGAGGTACAAAGTGTTTGCTTAGGGCAAAGCATTGGCCAGAAATACTACAAGCAAAAATCATAAATAGGCCTTTAGATTTGCTCTATTTTTTAAAACAGGCTTGGAGAGTATTTTTCTGGTATTGGTCCCTTGAGATCACCTTATGTATACTAAGCTACTTGACAACTACTGTAAGAGGAAAAAAGCTACTTGAGGTTGGGATGTTACTTTCTTTTGTAAACCCAGCTGCTGTTAGTATATATATGGCACTCTGATTGACTAACATACCAAAAATTCTGCCAGTCTCATCTTTCAATGTGTTAAGTGTCATATTTATAATAAAATATCAATTGACACTGGAGCAAACTATTAAAGTTTTCACATTGTACGTATGCTACTTGAAGAAAGGATACCCTGAGTTTAACTACAAATGCACTACAGAAGGATTTTTCACAAAATACCTTCACATACAAACTTATGGAAATAATGGCTTTATTTTTAAAAAAAATTTTTTTAATGTTTATCCATTTTTGAGAGAGAGAGAGAGACAGAGCACAAGTGGGGGAGGGACAGAGAGAGAGGGAAACACAGACTCTGAAGCAGGCTCCAGGCTCTGAGCTGTCAGCACAGAGCTCAACGTGGGGTTCTAACTCACGAGCCCTGAGATCATGACTTGAGCTGAAGTCAGACACCTAACCAACCAAGCCACCCAAGTGCCCCTGGAAATAATGGCTTTAAATGGGAGATTATATGAAAAGCTTCTTTGTAAACTATAGAGCAACTATTATGAACATGAAGATGGTTAAAAAATAATTGAATCTGTACTTATATAAGACTATATGAGTGAGGCACTTCTTAGGTGTTTTATAAGAGCCTAAAATCAGTATATATACAAACTTAAATTTAGAAATTTAAAAATATCAGTAGAAGGTGTAATTTTTGGCAGAAGAGGTTCATAGACTCATGGGACCCTCCCCAGAGAGGTTGAAGGCATGGACCTCTACCCTCCGTGTGGATGAAGCAGCAGCGTTTCAGTTTTATTGTGACCGGAAAACTGATGACTTGTTCTGGGTTTTCATAAAAAGCCAGAGCCCACAGCTTTTCTTCCTAGAGCAGTTAGCAATTTTTGTGAAAGGGTCCGCTTATAAGAAAATCAAGTTTTAATCTCAGTCTTTAAGTGTTTTGTGTCTTACATTTCCCAAGTGTCAATCTTTCTGTTTCATGTCGAAGTGGCGTAGACTGAGCAAGTGATAAGCTGTGGTAGCCTGTGAGCAAGAAAACATTGGAACGTGGTCAGAAAAGGTCTGGCTGTATCAGGGTCGGACCTGTGTAACGGAAAAGCATTGATAGCACACAGACATATGTAGATTTCCGTTTCTTGTCTTTTAAGAGTAATTAGTGGGGCGTGGAAAGAATCGTGGTTGTCTCTCATTTTGCCTGGCCTGAGATGGGCTCCATATGCCGTTCTCTATTGTGTTCTTTGCATTCCCGGCACAGTTCAGCGGACCAGGGGAGGAGAAGTTGAAACACGCTGCTGCCACCTTTTGCAGTAACCAACCTTTTGCCCTGGAAATGATCAAGTCTCGTCAGAAAAAGGATTCCCGATTTCAGACTTTTGTGCAAGTGAGTTGAGTGAGTCATGTAAGGAAAAAAATAATGCAACTTTTTTTATGGAATATGGAATAAACTGGGGGGAGTCTCAGACCAAGATTTTTAAAAGGATTATGTTAATGTTTTTGCAAGTCCTACATGATCTCTTAAATTATTGGAGAGTATAAAGGTGATGTTGGAATGGTAAATAATAAAGAATAATTATCAGGGTTAAAATACTTGACAGAGAAGTCCACATTACCACGGAGATATTGTCAGGAAGTGTCCCATGTACGCCGGTGACATAATACGGTCACAACATGAGAATGGGCTCATAACTAGCCAGGGAAGAGTGTAACCACAGTCATGCTTCCAGAGGTGTTGATATTGGTATATATCAAGGGTCAGTAAACTGTGGCCCACGGGCCATATCCAGCCTCTTGCCTGTTTTTATGGAGTTTTATTGGAACACAGTGTAGTAGATTTTTACTGTGGTACAAATTACCACAAACGTAGCAACCTAATGCGAATGTGTTATGTCACAGTTTTTGTGGTTTAGGAGTACAGGTGTCATTTAGCTGGGTCCTCTCTTCATGCGTTTTCACCAGACTGAAATGAGAGCATCAACTGGAGCGGCAGGTCTCATCTGAGACTTGGGGTCCTCTTCTAAGCTCCCAGGTTGTTCACAGAATTCATTTCCTTGTAAATGTATAACAGAGACCCCTGTCTTCTTGTCGTCGTTGACTAGAAACTGCTCTTGTCTCCTAGAGAATGCCCATATCTCTGCCATGCAGCCCCATAGGCAGTTTACAAGATGGTTGTTTCCTTTCTTGCAGGCCAGAAGGATTGTGTCTGTCTGACAGCTTTCTTTTAAGGACTCCTCTGATTAAGCCAGACTCGCCTAGGAGTCACTCTCCTTTTTGATCAATACAAAGTTAACTGGTAGTAATCTAATCATATGAGTGATATCCTATCACATTCACAAGTTCTTTCCACCCTCAAGGGGAGGTGATTATACAGGTGTGTGCACCAGAGAATGGGAATCTAGAAGGCCGTCTCAGAACTCTTTACTACACACGGCCATGTTCATTCATTCACGTGCTATCTATGACTGCTTTCGTGCTAAAACAGCAGAGTTGAGTACTTGTGACAAAGACTGGATGGCATGCAAAGCCTTAAGTATCTATCGTCTGGCACTTTACTCAAAAGTTTGCAGACGCCCTGTTAGAGATGAGCTGGTATATATCCGGGCTGATGATCCATCGTGCCCACTTTGGAATGGCAAATACCAAATCAGCCAACTAACTTTTGGTAGGAATGCCAGTCATAGGAAAATGTAGCTAGATTTTCTGAATATGTAAAGATAAAACTTTTATCACAAACAAGCAGTTCTTAGAGTTGATTATGGATATTCTCAGTTTTTGCTTAAACAGGTAAGAAAGAAGCCATTGGCTTAGTGATAAAGGCTCCCCTCCCCCATTACGTCAATAAAGGAGAAAGCCAGAAGTACAGTGAGACCGTGTTATACCTTGCCATGTTTTAAGTCTTGGTTTAATAACCAGAACTGTGATGTTGTAGACGCATACATGATGAATATATGGTACATGTTAGGTAACTAATAAGAATCACAAATTCACCTATTTTACTTTAATTTTAGGATGCCGAGAGCAATCCGCTGTGTCGTCGTCTGCAGCTGAAGGATATCATTCCTACCCAAATGCAGAGGCTTACTAAGTACCCTCTTCTGTTAGATAATATTGCCAAATACACAGGTACAGCATTCTCACTGAAATTAAGAAGCCTAGGAACAAAACAAAACAAAACAAAAAACCCATGTCCTGCTGAATAATCTCTCACAGAGTCCTGGTGTCCGAGGGTTTGATTTCCAAAGAATATGGCAACGTTTCCTAACAAGATTCAGTCCAGTCTTCTTTAGGCTGTTTGATTTAATATGCTCCATTAGTAGCTCTTAACACAGCATTTGGCAAACTATGGATCGTGGGCCAGATCTGGCTCATCCCATATTTTGTAAAAAAGTTTTATTGGAACATACTAGTGTTCGTTTGTTGACAAATTGTCTCCGACTACTTTTGCACCAAACAGAATTGAGTGGTTGTGACAAAGGCCACTTAGCCCCTCAAAGTGTAAAATATTTGTCATCCAGTGCTTTACAGACAAAACGTACATCTGGCGCTTTACAGAGAGCACCAGCCCTTCCTCTAGCATACATCATATTTGCTTTGAAGAAGGCGTATCCTGGGCAAAGAAATTCTGTGTATCTAACACGTACCTCCATGAAGCCCCAGCAGTGTGCTGTAACCCCAGCTCTCCTGTTTAAAAACAGGAGGTCAGTCTGAGTTTCTGAGTTGAGCTTTTAGGTTCTTACACGTAGTTCTCATTAATAATTTTATGCAAACTATTTCCTGTACCTGAAAACTTGGAAATACTCATGCACGTTCATTTGTGAACACACCTGTTCCAGATAGGTGGGCCGTTGTTCTGAGGGTTGTTGTCTTAAATATTCTAGTTTTGTCATTCTTTACATTGTAGGCCTCAATGTAATCTCAACACATTTTGGTGAATTTTATCTTCTTTTAATGATAAAATGTTGTAATCTGTTTTCTTTCCTTAAATATATTCTCAAATTCAAAGAAACGTCTTCTGCAGTTATTTTGAGTTCAGTGTTACCGTTAAACAGTTATTGCTGAACAGGTTCCCTGGACATAATCACATAGGCTGTGCCCTCAGGGGAGATTCCAGGGGGAGAAGGGGTCCCACTTGTATAGCTTACAGCATGAATGAGACCCACCCCCTGGAGTATGTAACATGGTGGGGCTGACACTAATGCACAGCTCCTTGAATTTGGGCTTAATTTGGGCTTATTTGTCTTAAGACATCTCACCTGCCCAAAGGCTATCTGAATTGAGATTCTGCTGTAGATTTTGGCCTGATATAAAAATATTCAAACTCTTCATACATATATATATACATATGTGTGTGTGTGTGTATGTGTGTGTGTGTATATATATATATATATATATATATATATATACACATGTATATGTGTGTGTGTGTGTATATATATATATATGTAAAATGTATGTTCTTTTCTGACTTCCTTTATCTTACATTTTGGATTTTTCTTCTATACTTAGAATGGCCAATGGAAAGGGAGAAGGTGAAGAAAGCTGCAGATCACTGTCGTCAGATCTTAAACTATGTAAATCAGGCTGTCAAGGAGGCAGAAAATAAGCAGGTAAGAAGGGAAAAACAAGAAGATATAGGATGACATAGGGAGAGTATTAAATTAGTGTTACCTGGGATCTGTGAAATAATAATTGAAATTATCATGACATAATTGACAGGTGGAGCATTTGTTGGCTATTCATGTAGTAGGTGGGTCCGGTTCAGTCTGTGGTAGAGCATCAGTTTTGTATTTGGCTTTCTTGAGCATCTGTAGTTGTTCGGTCTTTCATTTATGTGTTCATTCAACAAATATTTCTAGAGCACCTGTATCCTGAGTGTATGCTGAGTATAGGGTATAGAGTGCTGAAGTAAATAAGTCAAGTAAGTGCCCACATTGAGCGTAGTTTCTGGCAGGAGAAGAAGGTACCGAGCAGATTGTGGTGCAAGTATTTTATGTAATAGCTGCTATGAAGGAGACTTTGGAGTGCTAGGAGTGTATAGCTTAGTGCTGGGGTACAGGGAGAGCCTGGTTTGAGGGTGTTGGGTGGTAGCCATCAGAGAAGGCTTCTTTGAGGAGGTGACATTTAAGCCAAGCCCTGACGAATGAGTGGAAATCAACCAAAAGAATATGGAAGGGGGCATCCTTACAAGTAGAGGGAGCAGCATGTGCAAAAGTCCTGGGGTAAAGAGGAAGCATGGTCTGTCTGAGGAACTGAAAGATTAGGTTAGTGTGGACCATGCCTAAAAAGTGAAGCCGGAGTGCTAACAGAAGGACGCACAATAGGCCAGGACCAAGTCACACGGGGCCCTGTAGACCATGTTTAGATTCTGATTTTGAGAGCAGTAGGAATTCATTACAGACATTTATAAGAAGAGTGACGTGTCAGATTTTACACTTTGTAAGTATCACTCGTACTGGTCCGTGGCGGAGGGGTGGAAGGGGGCAGGGAGGAGATGAAGGAGCTCAGTCTGTTGCAGCAGTTCAGGGCAGGTCGTGGCGGCTCGAGAGGTACAAGAGTTGGAGAAGTGGAAAGTAAAACTAACAGGATTTGGTGACTGATTTAGAGAAGGATTTGAAGGGAGGTGCGATGGTAGGAATAAATCCAAGGTCTCTGGTTTGCACATTTGAGTGGACAGGACGAGTGAAGAAGGCCCCAGATTTGTAGGGAAGATGAGGAGTTCAGTTTGAAATATCAGGTGAAGACGGATAGTGTGCCGTTGGCTATCTGGACCCACCTCTAAGAGGACTGCGCTGAAGATAAAAATGTAAGATTGTGAGTATATATAGAGGTTAATTGAATCCGTGGACCTGGATGTAATTTCTTAGGAACTGAATTATGATGACGGCTCTGTTGGTGAGGCTATAGGAAAACGGGAACTTTCAAATGTGTTGTTTGGAGTGTAAAATGATAAAACTCCAGAGGGCAGTTTGGCAATATGTACCTAAATTAACAATGCATACGTTCATACATCTACCCTTTGACCCAGCAATTTTGTTCCTAGTGATTTACCCAGGGAAAATGAAGATATGTGCCCACAGATTTGTACAGGAGTGTTTATAGCATAAAGCCAATGTGGTGTAGTCATAAACTAGAATAATAAATACCAGCATAAAAAGAAAGGAACCTGCTGATACAACGTGGATGAACCTCACCAGCATGATGCCAAGTGAAAGAGAGCAGATAAGAGCACATATATATAGTTTTATTTATGTGAACTTCTAGAACAGGCTCAACTAATCTGTGGTGGGAAAAAAAGGTCAAAAAAGTGGTTGTTATTGGCGATGCGGGGCCAGATACTAACCAGGAAGAAGGACGAGGGAACATTCTGAACATCACATGAGGTGATGGCAGTGTTTCATATAGGAGTTTGATTGCACAGGGGCATACGTGTGTAAAAACTTGTGGAAAGGTACGCTTAAAGTGTGTGCATCTCACAGGTATATTTTACTTCAAAAAAGTAACCGTAGGGGCGCCTGGGCGGCTCATTCGGTTGAGCGTCCAACTCTTGATGTTGGCTCAGGTCAGGATCTCATGATGGCATCGAGCCCTGCATCGGGCTCTGTGCTGACAGCGTGGAGCTTGCTTGGGATTCTCTCTCTCCTCCTCTCCTTCCTTGCTTATGCTCTCTCTCTTCTCTCAAAATAAATAAATGAATTTAAAAAAATGTTTAAAAAGTAACTATAAATAAATATTGACTCTTGTTAATGATATGCACACTAAAATGTTTAAAGGTAAAGTGTGCTTACATCTGTAAGTTATTTTGGAATGCATTCAAAATGTGTTGTGCCTTGATGGATAGCTAGAGGGATGAACAGACATATAATAAAACAAATACAGCAAATATTAACTGTGGACGTAAGTAATGAGTGTATAGGTGCTCACAATACACATTCAGACTTTTCTGTTCACTTGGACATTTTGTAATCTTGGGGGAAAATGCACATATGCTTTGACCTAACAGTTGTTCCTTTAGGAATTTATCTTACAGATATATCTACACATGTCCATAAAAATATATGTTTTAAGGCCTTTATATCACAATATTGTTTGTTATAGTAGATGATTGGAAGTAACTTACATGTCCTTCAGTCAGTGTAGTTGAGTAAACTATAGTATGTTCACAGAGCTTAATACCATACGGCCATTTGAAAAGTGAGTTCTCTCTATATGTGCTCATGTGGAACAGTCTCCAAGATACAGTGATGAGTAATACACACACACACACACACACACACACACACGTACACATACATGTACACATGTGTATGTGAATATGTTACCATTTGAGTAATTAACATATTAATATGCTACCATATCTTTTTAAAAAGGATATATACACACAGCATGCACAGAGAGAAGCATACTTACATATGCATATATTCCGTTTGCTTAGAATTTTTCTCATAGGCTACCCAAGAATGGGTATCAAGATTGAGGAGGCAAGAGGACAGGATTGGAGTGAGACTTCGTTTTCATTGTGTGTCTTATATTACTTTTCGGATTTTGTGCCACGTACATGATTTACATATTCAGAAAATAGCCACAAGCTAGTTAGAGGTCAGTGAGTTTGGAAAGCAGATTGAACAAGAACAACCAAAGAGGCAAGAGGAAAACTAGGAGGGTGTGATGTCTCCAGAGCCAGCGGAAGGAGGGGGTTGTTTTAAGAACGAGTGAGCTGTCGGTTATGTCCGGTGTTGCAGAGAGCTCTGTAAGATACAGGTAAAAAGATGTCCATTTGGTTTAGGAACAGGGAGGTCATTGATACCCAAAGCAGTAACCTTGGCTCCATCTTGTCGTACTCGCAGCGCTTAGAAGACTATCAGCGTCGCCTCGATACCTCCAATCTGAAGTTGTCAGAGTACCCAAATGTGGAAGAGCTCAGGGTGAGAGATTGTCTAATCATAATTTAAAAAATGAAATACAGTTTACTAAAGAGCTTGCAGGTAATTAACATCTCTGTGGGAACATCCATCACCTGAAGGAGTTCTTGTATCACAGATTGTCTGTATTTATGATTCTGTTCTTCGTTTGCAACATCTGGTCTGCGTGAAGCTTAGTCTTTTGTTAGAGGAATCTTTTGTGTAAAACGAACTCTTTGTAAGAGAAATTTGCAGGAGACTAAGGGAACATTAGTAATTTAGTTTTATTTTGTTCTTACAGTCTGAATGGGAGTAGGGCTGTTTACTCTGGGAACTTTCTAGATTACTGAGTAAAACAAGATAATTTTTTCATGAACCTCTTCAGAAGCATAAATGTTGAAACCATTACAGGAATGGTTGTAAAATATTTAGTAATTGCCATTTCTGTTACATGGGGCTTTTGTGTTAAGTAACTGCTTAGGATTTTTAATCTTTCTTGGTCTGTTTTACTTGGTGGCGGTTTTTGGCAGATGTATTTGGTGGCTGGTTAATCAGACTTTTATGTCTTATATAACAGCTTATCAAAAAGCAGGCTTAATATGCTTAGCCCCATCTCTTCCAGACAGTGGGATTTTTCTAGGGCTACCTAGACTAAAAGATGATTCTCTTACTAAATTATTAATAATCAGCAAGGCTGATCACCGCCTCGACTTTTTTTATGAGTACTGTTCTTCCTTAACTTGGTTTGGAACTAGAGTCTGGCACTCACAGGCCTCCTGCAGATAAGCTAGGCACCCCCCTTATCTAGTTATTCATAGAAAAATGAGGGGATGGGCTGCGAATCCAGTGCTGATCATTTTCATAAGCTGCTGTCATGTGTTTAGTGTGAGATTTATAAGACAGCACTCCTGAATATTTTCCTGCAAGATGCTTCTTCCCTTTTTAGGAGATTGTATGCAGCTTACTTTAACTTGATCTTTATTCCATGGTCAACAGTTGATAGATCTCGATAATGATACTGAAGGTAAATGGCATCTTTTATGTGAAGAATTTTTTGAAAAGAGACTGTATGGAATATGATCTCCGTAAGTGTTTGGAAATAATTTGTGTATAATCGTCTTTGTTTTGGCAGAATTTGGATTTAACAAAAAGGAAGATGATTCATGAAGGGCCACTGGTCTGGAAGGTGAATCGGGATAAAACTATTGGTAGGTGTAATGTCTGTCAGTATGGGGGAGAGTGGAAGAAAGAAGAAAATAGTAAAGTTTCCTTATGCCCGAGAGGAGAGATGACCGTTCACAGTTTTCCGCTGCAGCAGTGAGCAGTGCTGCTCGCGTATTTTTGCAGATCTGCTTATGCTGTGTTGTTATATGTGAAGCGCATCACATATTCATTTGGGGTGAAGCAGAGGTTTGTCATGATTCTGCCCTGTCTCCATCATTCTTGTATTCTAATGAGCTTTCCAATAAGCTTTCTTTAAACTGCTCCATTTCAAACTGTCTGTGGTGAGAAACCGTGGTGTTTTTTTTTTTTTCCTCATCAGTCACAGATTGGCATGTGTGTCAATACAATATAAAAATTAATATTATTATTATTTTCAAGTTTATTTATCTTGAGAGAGACAGAGAGAGTACAAGCAGGGGAGGAGCAGAGGAAGAGAGAGAATCTGAAGTGGGCTCTCGGCCATCAGCACAGAGCCCGATGTGGGGCTCGAACTCATGAAACCGTGAGACTGTGACCTGAGCCAAAATCAAGAATCGGACGCTTAACCGACTGAGCCACTCAGGCACCCCTAAAAATAAAACTAAAAAAGGCAATAGCAAGTTAATTTTTAACATGTATTAGACTGTATTAGATTTAACAGAAATAAATTTTCTGTGTCAAATTGTTAAAAAGTTTATAAACCACATCTCAGTATCTGCACTCCTCACCTTCTCTATGTTTTTGTTTCCAGATCTGTACACGTTGCTGCTGGAAGACATTCTTGTATTGTTACAAAAACAGGATGACAGACTGGTGTTACGATGTCATAGTAAGATTCTGGCATCTACGGCTGATAGCAAACACACGTTTAGCCCTGTCATTAAGTTGAATACAGTGTTGGTTCGACAAGTGGCAACAGGCAAGTATGTCTGCAGAGTGACAGGAAGCTTCAGGTTCATGATACAGTTACAGGAGATGTTCGGTATTGTTTAAGTAGCCCAACTGGTATAGAGTTTTGGTTTTTTAATGTTCTTAGACAAATGAAATTTATTTACTGGGGAGAAAGTAAGAATTTGTGCCCCCAAATTATTTGGGATGCCTAGATTCTCTGAGCAATTTTCTGCACACTACTTTGATCTTTATTCTGTGTTCAAATCATTGACACCAGTGAAGATGGAGAATTGAGAGGTAATCCCAACGAAAAGGCTTTCATGAGACTGGTGTCTTTTTTGATTTGTGAAAAAAGCGCAAACAAACAAAAATGAAGAGATGGGTTTAGTTTGGGGTACTTGAAATCCGCTTAAGTCAGCAAGTTATATGTTAACTGTACCAACAATGAGATCCCTTTTAAAACTTGTTCGTTCCGCAATGACAAGAAAAATTGGTGACCTCTTTTCTCCAACATCTAGCTGTTTAGCAAAAGGGCAATTCAAAATAAATGCAAAAAAGTCAGTTCAGTAATTTAGATATATTGACACCTCTTGTTTCTAATAAGTGACTGTGGAATCAGGGCTGGTTTTTATAGTCTTTGTTTTATTGACATATAATATATACAGCATTGTCTACGGTAAGTCGCACAAAATTGTAACGTGTAACTTAACAATTTTTTACAGAGTGAACATGTTTAAAAGTGAACACATTAACCTTTACCTAGATTAAGATGCAGAATAAATCAGGACACTAGAAGCATCCTTCATGGCCCCTATAGGTCACGTTCATGTCGTCAGAGTGATTTTTGTCTTGTTTCTTCCAGATAACAAAGCTTTGTTTGTCATCTCCATGTCGGACAACGGGGCCCAAATTTACGAACTGGTGGCACAGACAGTTTCTGAAAAGACTGTGTATGTATTAGATATAGCTACCTTACCCTAATGGTTTTTATTGTCCTGAATATAATATTCTATAAACTTAACTTCATTTTTGTAATCGTAGTTTGACAACCGAAAACTATATGGAAAGAAGCTCTTCCTCTGTATTCTTTTAGAGGTGTTTTTCTAAGAACCTGTTCTTTTTTTAGATTGACGTCTCTCCTATTTTGATTCTATTCTTTTGAAAGTATCTTTTCTGAAGAAAATTTCTCACAAGTGTCATGTGAAGTTTTTAATGGGCAGTGTGTGCATAACGCTGTTTGTTAGGTTTTTCTTTAAGGTATAGCATTTTTTATAGTCTGCTTACGTTGCCAAAATAAAAATAACTCTCTGGCAGAAGTAGGGTTTTTTGTTGGATTGGCTTGGCTTGATTTCTGGTTTGTTTGTTTGTGTTGTTACTTCTTTCTGCGTGTATTTAAACGGCGTTTGTTTTTCCTTTCACTTTTGGATTTTGGAACCTTTTCAAACTTCTGCAGCTGGCAGGACCTTATCTGCCGGATGGCCGCATCAGTGAAGGAACAGTCGGCGAAGCCAATCCCACTGCCCCAGTCACCACCTTGCGAGTGAGTGTGCATTTGCATTGTAGTAGGACTGACTTCGCGTTTTGTCAGGAAGGGAATAGCTAATTCTTACATCGTGTCACAATGATGTTTTGGCAACTCGTGAAGCTGAAAGATGGTTTTCTTTCTTCCATAGAGGAGACAACGATGAAGAAGAACCTCCAAAATTAAAAGTGGAGCATCATAGCATTTCAGTCCCTGGTCTGCAGAGTCCAGGTAAACTGATCTGTTAGGTTTGCCTGGAAGAGTGGAGTCTAAATATTACTAAGACGCAAAGAGGCTTTACGTCTTTTGGACTTTGCAGATTCTCGCATAAGCTGTTTCTTTTAACAGACTTCACTTATGAGCCTTTCGTGTGCCATTTTAACACTGCTCCAAGTGCCGTGTCTTTCACTTAACAGCAGATGATCTCTGTACTCTTGTGGTTATTTTTTCAGGTATTTCCTGAATGCTTCACATTGAAAGTTAAAAGTTTTGCTTAAGATCTATTCTACTTTTTCTGTTCCATTGAACAGACAGAGATTTGGGATTAGAGTCTCCCCTAATATCGTCAAAACCTCAGTCTCATTCACTGGGTGCCTCTGGGAAGTCCGAGGTAGATGATCTGTTTGTGGCTGAGAGACAGTTTGCTAAGGAGCGGCATGCAGATGGGACTCTGCAGGAAGCTGGAGCAAGTTACCAAATCCCAATCCCAGACCCGCACTTGCCTGCCTCAGAAGAACGGTGGGCCTTGGACGCACTAAGGAATTGTAAGTGCTGTTCATAAGTTAACACAGATGTTTGTGAAGTGCCAGAGTTGTGTCGTGTACCACGCAGCCATTTAGGGAGAACCCAAGGAAGTTTAAACTCTGACTTTTCCCTTAAAGAATTGTACTATCTCGTTGGGAAGATGATAGAACACTTCCTACCACCTTTTAAAGTAACCGGTACAGGTTGTTACAGTTGATCTGGTGGTGGTGACCAGAGAGAGATGCATCAGGAAACAAGGGGGATGTGATTATCACCTTGAAGAATGGGCAGGATTCAGATAGGCATGTAGAAAACATGCAGATCAGAATAGTGATAGGGCCAGAAGCACAGAGGCAGAAAACTCTTGAGTGTGTTCAGAGAGCCGCAGGTAGACCCTGTGAGCTCAAGGAGGCAGGGGAGATAAGGTGGGAAAGGTGGAAGGTGGGACGCTGAGGCCAGCTGTTGTGAACCTTGAATACCAGATTGAGTCCTCCGAATTTGAAGGGTGGCACAGCGCAGGGGGGCGCAGTGTGATCTGATCAACACAGGGCTCGATCCCACAACCTTGTGATCATGACGTGAAGTCAAAATCAAGAGTCAGATGCTCAACCCACTGAGCCACACAGGCACCCTATCATTTCCTTTTTTTATTTACCAGAGATTATGGGCTCAAGTTGAAAACTGGCAAGCTATTTAAGAGGAAGTGACGAGCAGGAAGTTGGGAGTTTTAAGCCTGGAGCTTTGGGGAGAGGATAGAGAAAGAGATGGGTTTGAATGTCAGAGCCATAGGAATTCATCATATCTCTCGGGAAATGAAGGTAGAGCAGGACAGAGGGCCAAAGACTCAGACCTGTATGGAGACAGTTTCCCTAGAGAAACAAGATAGAAATTAAGCCAGAGTGAAAAGTACGGAATTGGTCAAGTTCTTTAAAATCTAATTCATTCTAGAGTCTCCTGATTCTGACAGTCAGAATGATTTCTGATGGTTTGACTAACACTGTCCCACTAGTAAGGTCATTTTTAAAAAACTAATAAATATGTTCTTATCCTTTGAAACTATACATGCTACCAAATCATTGAAATTAAATTTTATTATAAGGCAACTTTATTTTCGTCACCATGTAAGGAGATTCTTTGGATTATTATAAAATGATAAATGTTCTGTGTGTCTAATAAAATTAGAAAAAATAACACCTGTGTATACAGTGTCGGCTTCTGGAAAAAGCAAAACTTTCAGGGCTTCTTTTCTAGCATAACACAGCTTTTTAACATCTTTTTAAAAAGTACTTTCGGGGTATTATTCAGGTTGCATGGAATCAAAAATAGACAAAGGCATGGTATTAGTTAGCTGTTCTGAACAGGAGTGTCTCCTCATTCAGAAGGCTTACTTACATCTTTTCAAGTCTTGTTTGATATTAAATCTTTTCTAGATGGTGCTTTATCTCATTTTTCAATACAAAACAAAAAAAATGATGGTATGAAATTAATATTTTGACTCTACGAAAAAGATACTTTTTGAAATAATTGGTAGTTCCGCAGACGAATTTAATTCTGGCAGTCTGAGGCTATTGTTGTGAATGTGTGTTTTCTCCTCCCTCCTAAATCTTTCAGTGGGCTTGTTGAAGCAGTTGCTTGTACAACAACTGGGTTTGGCTGAGAAGAGCACTCAGGAAGACTGGTCACGTTTCCCGAGATACGGAACAGCGTCTTCCGGGGTGCAGACAGACAGTGTAACCCAGAACTCTGAAAATAGTAAGGCCTGTCCTCCTGGTGAAGGACAGGTGTCCTTTAGAACTGAAAGTGGTGACATTTCCACTTGTTACAGTCCACGGACTTCAACTGAATCTTCTGCTCCACGAGATTCAGTGGTACTGGCATTCCAAGATAGCCAGGCAAGTAACATTTTAGTAATGGACCACATGATTATGACCCCAGAGATGCCTCCTGCAGAGCCAGAAGGGAGTCTTGATGAGAGTGGAGAGCACTTTTTTGATGCCCGGGAAGCACATAGTGATGATAATCCATCAGAAGGTGATGGAGTGGTTAAGAAGGAAGAGGATGTTAATTTGCGCATCTCAGGCAAGTTTCTTTCACATTTAAACTTTGATTTTGATGGTCATTAACTGTGCTGTGTGCTGTGCTGAGATGGATGTTTGGGTATCTACGCATTCTCGTGTGTGTGTGTGTGTGTGTGTGTGTGTGTGTGTGTAGCATTTATCTTTCATGCAGTAAATGATGACTGAATCTACTCTATGCCAGACCCCATCGTAGGTGCTGGGAGATACGGCATTGATAACGCAGAAAAATCCACTATTCTTGGGAAGCTTAAGTACTAGGAGAGGAAAGAATAATGGTAACTGAGTAAACAGATGTCAGACAGTAAGAAGAATTAGGAGGAAAAATAAGTCAGAGGCGGCAGAGATTGATAGGACAGTCGGCAACCAGGGTCGGGGTGCAGAGGACTCTAGGAGAGAGCGGGGGCACGCAGGCCGCTGGGCAAGAGCAAGCGTCTGGCGGTGGCTAGGTGCAGGGTGAGGGAGAAGGTGGTGCACCATGAGGTACGAGGACTGTTTGGCTAGGGCACTTGTGGCAGGATCATATGGGGACTTTGCAGTTTGCAGCTTTTGACTTTTAAGACACTAACACGAAGTTTTTTGGAGATTTACCATGAAAGTGTGCTCAGTTTAGCTTCAAGCCAAAGTGCGAAGACCCTGATGTACTTAAAACTGAACTTGAGGATTGGAGAATTAATGGCTTTTCTCCATCTTTAGTGGCTTTGAAAGTTGTCAGCATATCCCCTCGTCTCTGTTTTTTGATGCGAGGATGGCGGCACCAAGCTCATCAGGCTCTTCCGTCTCTGTCAATAGGAAACTATTTGATCCTTGACGGCTACGATGCGGTGCAGGAGAGCTCCACGGATGAGGAGGTTGCTTCCTCACTCCCCCCACCGCCCACGACAGGCGCCCCCCCCATGGACTCTGCCGGCCAGCAGCAGCATTCTCCCCAGAACGCCCATTCCGATGGGGCGCTCTCACCGTTCACCCCGGAATTCCTGGTCCAGCAGCGCTGGGGAGCTATGGAGGATTCCTGTTTTGAGATCCAGAGTCCCCCCTCTTGTGCAGACTCACAAAGCCAGATCATGGAGTACATTCGTAAGATCGAGGCTGACCTTGAACACTTAAAGGTACCTCAGATGTCCGTGTCCTCGTGGCTGGGGTAAAGAAACATACCTAACAGAGAGGACGTACAGAACAACCGACATGTTGATGTCAGTAAGCTTGTTCAGGTTCTAGATTTGCTGTTTTCTTTGACCAGTATCCATGAACAGACCTGGATAAAAAGCCGAAATCAGCACTGTTTATCTGGTTGCAGATCACAAAAACAGGAAAAGGTTGTAGCACCGTAGACAGCGTGTTTGTTTGGGTTTCTAAGTTTAAGAACCCAAATATATTTGGGATGACTGGCTGGCCTCCATGAGAAAATGTGAATAGCAAGCTGACGGAGGTGGGGTTTGTGTCGTTATGAATCTAGGCTAGAAAATGCTTTCACTTATTAATTATCTGCAAATCGTTAGGTGATGTCAGTAGTTTCCCAGCCGCTTTGACACATAGACACTGGCTCCAATGGCTCCCGTAATCTGAAAACCTGGACATGAATGGATTTTTGTGAGTTGGTAGTTGAAGCTGTCACCGTATGGGCCACTATTTCAGAACTGACTTAGGTGGTAATTTCTGAGAAAAGGACTTTATCTTAAAGTTTGTCATCAGTAGACACAACTGCTAGAGCCCAAACATTTTTTCATTACTTTGCAAACAATATTAAAAGTGATCTTAGCCTTTTAGCTAAAGACTGGTCTTCCTTTCTTCTTTTCTTTATTTACACACAAAAAATTTTTTTGTGTTTATTTATTCTAGAGAGAGAGAAAGAGACACAGAGTGTGAGTTGGGGAGGGGCAGAGGGAGGAGACACGGAATCCTAAGCAGGCTCCAGGCTCTGAGCGGTCAGCACACAGCCTGATGCGGGGCTTGAACCCACGAACCGCAAGATCATGACCTGAGCTGAAGTCAGACGCTTAACCGACTGAGCCACCCATCGTAGTTTTTCTTTTAACCTCACTTGGTCGGTGTTCCCCTCATCCCAGCGCTGATGAGATATCTCCTAGGCCATTGTGGGCAGATTGGCTCTGCCACCGTTCGTGTCACCTATGGGACCATTTTCAGGGTGACTCTAGGGGTGGGAGAATCACCTTTACACGAGAAGGTTTTAAGTTATTCACTCAAGGGAGAATCTTTTTACAGGAATGAAGTTTCCTCTTCTTCCCCACTAACAAAATTGTTAATGACATTAATGTGGACATTTAGAGGCATGTACCAGTAATATGCAAAAGCTTTCTTTCCTGTTTTCATAAAGAAAGATTAGGATGTTCAAATGAAAACCTATGGGTTTTATTTTACAGAAGGTGGAGGAAAGTTACAACATTCTTTGCCAAAGGCTGGCTGGATCAGCCCTCACAGACAAGCACTCAGGTATGTGAAAATTGTGGACTCCAGACTCTAGAATCATTCTGCCTGAACAGTACATCGGATGAAATGATTTATTATTCTTTAAAGTGGAAGCCTTCTGAGATTCCATTTCTCTCCTGTCTTTAAAAAACTGCTTGTTTCCAAACATCATCTATCAGGCAGAGGCTGCCATTTGCTGACTGTGCTCTTCCTCTTGTGAGAGGAGCCGCGGCCATCAGTTGTCCTGTGCGGTCCCTCCCCACCGCACACTCCCCCGTTCCCCCGCCCCCGTCTTTCTTCACCTTTACAGAAGCAGAAAGCAGGGCGGTGGGAATCCTGGGCAATCCTAGGTTCCTTAGAGATCTGCCAGTGCTGCTGCGAGGGGGCTTGGTGCTCCTCGGGCCTGGCTGTACTCCGGTGTCTGTCCCGACAGCCAGAGCGGCGTCTCCCCGCGACCGCAAATGGATCTGTGCTCGGTGACGCGATTTGTACCCATCTGCTTACGTGCTTTCGAATGAGGCTGTTCTGATCCAGTGAACAAAAGACCCAGCTGTGCCCTCAGACCTCACCTCTCGGTATTCTCTGAGTGTTCATTTGTTCTTCTTAATTGGATCTCCGCATGTCTTTATTCTTCCCAGATAAAAGTTAGAGCCGCGTGTCCTGGAGGTGACTGAAGGTTGTTGGATTTTGAGCGTCGGCCTTGTATCACCCATCCTGGCTCCACCGTGGGTGCAGAGAAGAGTGTGTCCCAGAGGGTCTGCCTGTGAACCACCCCCCTCCCCCCACCCCGGGGCAGCCATGTGCCCGGGCGCCCAGAGCGGGACTAGTTCTTCACAGTCTGGCAGCTGCACTGGTCTGTCAGTGAGGGAGTATTCGTTCTCTCACTCTGCTCTCCTCACTATCGGAAATTCATTTTGATTCACAACAGAAACCAAATGTATAGAGCTTTGGGTGTAGGATATGAAATTTTACTTAGACTTAAGAAAAAGAGAAAATCAGATGTATTTATTTGACTTCATTCCGTATTTGAAAGCACATTTTAATTTTTATTTTGCCATGTTTTGTTTTGAGTAGTGAGAGTTTTAGCCCTTTGTATTTAGTACCCCCAAGGGTCAGTTGCTCCTGAAGCCAAGCGTTCAGGATAAGGTGTTAGGAGGTTGGGTAGAGGGGTGAAGGAGAGGGGGAAGTGAGCAGGGGGAGCAAGGAGCATCTAGCTTCCACTAAAGTGTATTGCATGCCCTCTGCTGCCCAGTGGGCGTCGTCTTTGAGGGTCACCTCAAAGGCATAGTATGCCCGTGGCTCCGCTCCTGTGCGCGGAGGACTTGAGCCGTGTGCTGCCCAGATGGGCAGAGAGCTGGGTGGGCTTCCTCCCACGTGAGGCGAGCACCTCTTCTCTGTAGCCGGGATCAACCCCCAATTAACAGAAATCCTCAGTGTACTAAAGAGCAGGCACTTGAAAATCGGTGTGTTCTTCTTGTCTTCTTTCTATCGAGGGTAGGGATTTGGGAGGGAGAGGAAAGCAAATTTTATTTTCTTGGCTATAAATTTGCTATTCTTGGTATTGTTTCATTTTTATAATTATACATTAGACTTCGGCACTTGTGTAAATTATCCCTGCAGGTTGAGCGGGAAGCAAAAACAAACAAATGGAGATGCTTCAGGTGGTGGCGGGGGTGGGGGTGCTGAGGAAGGGGGGGATGGGAGCGGGGAAAAGAGTTTGGGAAGGTTATCTGACTGAATCACTACTGAGTTGAACCATGGCTCTCATTAGCCACGGGTACTGCTGAATATAAGGCCAGTAAAATTTTAGTACCTGGAGGTTTGACTCTTAATATTAATTTTGCACTGATGGGTGCCAAAGGGCTCTCTGAGTTCAAAGGAGAGCCGCGAGTGGAGTGGAGAGAGATGAGGTGGAGAAGGCAGAGCCGCTCAAACCAGCTCCCGAATGACTTCCTCTGACTTCACTGCCGGAGCTTTTTCCACACTGGTGCATGACTGACCTTAAAAGTTGCAGACCAGAGCATACACTGGATACTGTGGGCAAGGGGTTGCTAACTGCCTGCTCTAGAATGAATTGTAGTATTGGCTGCCCCCTGCAGAGGGTAAATGTTTCAGAACTGTAACTTGAGAACTCCTTCAGTGATACTGGCTTTCTGTGGTTTTCTTTGTGCATCGGGTATATGTGTTTTGGAGTATTTTTGCCAACTAAAGCTAAATCATGGGTCAAGTCTTCAAATTCTGTTACTACATAAAGAGTACCTCCACTGCTCATTTCAGTAGTGCCCTCTGAACTCTGTGGGTAATCAGGAAGTAAATTTACTCTTCCCCCGCACTCTCCTCGCAAGCGGTAAGGATTCCCTACTGCTTTTGTAAACACCACTACAATTTAACAAGCTCATCTAAGTCCGGATTCCTATTTCCTGCCTTTTTCAAATCTGACCTATGTTTTGAAGTAGACCAATTTGGACTGTTGGACCTCATCTATAAATTAGAATTCTATTTTGAGTCGTAGACCAAGTATCAGTTAAATCTGAGTGGGCTTAAAAATTTTAGAGGCAGAAGCTAGTAAGGGAAGCTTGGGACTTGAACTTTCTGTATCTCTTAAGAGAAGCGAGTGGAAAAGCCAAATGATCATGTAGTGCTGCTGGAGATGACGTAGTCACTCGCAACCAAAAGGGCAACGTGCCCGTGGCCACCTGACACCGGGGTCATCAGCTGGCATTTAATCTGGAGAAAGGGAACTGTAAGTGGAACTTTTATCTTAAATTCAGACAGTACAGGGTAATCCCATAATTCCCTAGCACGCAAGAAGCTTTGTAGGTCAACAGCGTTTGGGTTTCTCTTCTAGCTCAGCCAGTGTATCTCGCCCTTAACAACGATTGGCTTTGCTTTTCCTGCAGTTGAAGCTCTCCTTGGAACAGGGCTAACTGGAAAAATACTTTGACCGTAGCTCTAGTACTTCCAAATAAACTCATATCTGGATTTTTAAATGAAGCCCCAAGACACAGTCTGAGTCTGAAAAGATTCCACAATTTTGAGTGTGTTCTTTTTATCCTCCAGCCTACCTTCCTCCCGCCTCCTTCCCAGCATTGCCTCCTACACCTTCCATTTTTTTGGCCGTTATAATCACAGCCATTTTACTTTGATACCATATCTGCCTTTCAGGACAATGGAATTAGATATTCCTAGTGTCTTTGAGCGACAGTGGTCCCCAGCGAAGCTGTTTTCTCCCAGGTTACCTGACTAGAAGCTGGAATCAAGGGTGGTGAACACAGCAACCTTCCCAGAGCAGGAGGGCTGGGCTTTAGCCATCCAAGTGACCTGCTGTGACCCTGTGCTCTCTCTTGTGGGCCTGATGGCTCCTTTGCTATTAAGTGGCAAATTACATTTGGAGTGTCTCCTTCCTTTTCAGAGAACAGAGTTAATCAAGGCAAATCAGCAAGCCCCCAAAGTGCTATAATTTAAAATCATGATTACATACTTTAAAATCAGCCAACTTGGACTGCTTGAGTTATCTTGGCTTTTAGAACCTAAACTGTAACTATTCTATCGTACCGTAAGAAGGCGCATTTCATTAGTTTTCTGGCTTCCCATTCCCCAAAACAACTTCTAACCACTGTTTAAGACAGTTTTTATTTGTTTTTTTGGAGGCAAGAGGGGGAACCTAATGTGAGAGTAAAGGAGAAAAGCTTATTTTTTCTTCTTTTTAGAAGCTAGAGAAGATAATTAAGGCTTCCTGTGAGTTGTCTTTTACTTGCATACTTTTTTTTTTCTTTTGATGTTGGTAAATTTGGTGTATTACATGGAGCTTCTCTATTTCAAACTGGAAACTGTCTTCTCTGAAGGTGGTGTATGATGTTATTTTGAACTGCTAGAGCTTTGGTCAATATTTCCTTCTGTATACGTCACAGAGGGCACCATTGAGAATTGTGTACAGAGGACCTCAGAATACAAAATTGTCAGGACCGTGTAGTCATCTTCCTGCTGGCTGGTCTCTTCCCCCTCCTGTTACAATTTTCGTTTTAAATCATGGGGTTTTTTTTCGTTTTTGTTTGTTTTGTTCGTTTGTTTTCTGACCCACCCCTTTCGTTGATCTGCAAAATAGTTCCTTCTTCGAGAAAAGAGTTTCTTTTGCCTCGTTCCGTATGCCTTCCCCACTGGTACTGATGGTTTTGATAATAAATTGGTGGAAGAACGACGTACCTCGTAGAAGGAAGCCCTGTCTGCCATTTCCAGGTGCCAATGGCTAAGCAGATGTACTGCAAAAGTGGTAACTGTAATGTGCACACTATTGGTTATTTTTAATAAGCCTCTTCCTACTAGAACATTTTATTTTCCTTGTTCACCATACAATCATGTACTCTTTAACAGAAATTACTTTTAAAAAAATCTGGAACTATCTTTAAAAGAACTTTATTAATAATCATGTATTTTTACTGATCACATTTTGAAACGCCTAAAAGACTTTATTGTTCTAATTATCCAGATGTACCTTTGTAAAATAGCTCTTTTATGAATTAGCTGATAAGGCTGTATGTTTCTGGAACAAAATATTGGTCATCTAAAAACTTTCTGTTTTCTGGGGTCTGGGAAAATAGAAAATGAGAGTTCAAATATTAAATATGCTTAAAGGAACCAAGTATGTGGCTTTTTATTTATGTTCTTCTTGGTTTGTCTTCTCCGAGTTGCATTAGAAAAGTTGAGGCCCCAAGGAGGCCTTCATTCATCTTACTGGCAAGTGACTGTCGAGCAGCTTCCTGCTTGTTAGAGCATCTTTACTAGCCAGACGAGCCAGCTCGTCTCTGTGATGGGCCAGCATCCGTGAGGACACCAACGGCGGGTGTTGCCGCAGCGTCCGGGGCGGTGCTTTTGCTCTCTAACAGCTTCATTGAGACATAATTCACATTTCGCACGGTTCACTCATTTAATGTGTACAGTTCGATGGTTTTTGGTATGTATTTTTTAAATTGTAAAACATATGTAACATAAAATTTGTCATCTTAACCATCTTTTAAGTGTATAAA